CCCCGGGGTCTGTTTGTCAGAGGGCCACTCAGGGCTGGGCCCGAGAATGTGATGCTCTGAGAGACCTTGGGAAGAAAGCGTCGGGCGGCCGCTTACCTGGCAGACGTCCACTTAGTCCGGAGAGAGTTCAGTGCGGCCTTCGATGAGTCCATCTGGGTCCAAGTCGCTGAGCGGGGTGGAGACATCACCCATCAATGCTGACAGTCGGGCGCTCTTGTACTCTATTTAGATATTAGGAGTATCGATCCAACTAATAGCGGGTCTATAAATTAATAGAAAAAGGAAATAAGTTTCTATGTCTAACCTTTCACTAGAATTCATAAACATACCATATATGCTACATATAAATAGAATAATGTATTAATACTAATACATACACTATGTATGTACATATACTTACATATATACTAATACATACACTATGTATGTACATATACTTACATATATACACACACATATATTTACTAAACCCACTTCACTGAGATAACAGAACATTCTGAATTCATAGGTCCAGTACCTAAATCTGGGGAGATCCGCTAACCTTGTCAGTCTGCCTTTTTCCTGGCTGCCTGCATCATAGTAAAGCCATCGGGGAATCTACCAAAGGACCGTTCCTTGAAACGCAGCTTTGAAACCGCCCGGCAAACCTGTCACCTGTGAAAAGATTCATGCAGGCGGACGCCCCTGCTCGCCCACCCAGGGAGCGTCTGCCTGGGACCCGGGCCGGACCCGGTCTCTGGTGGCTTGAATAACCCCACAACACGTACTAGTATGTATTGAATGTACCAGTGCGTTACACACCAGTACACAGAATAACTTTTCTAGTGCACTAGTGCGCTGTTAGAAGTTGCCGATGCTCAGAATTAAGAGCGAACTCAGGTGTACTTCCTTCCTTCTCGGCCCCAACAACGCACGCTCTTCAGCTTTAAGGCCTCGTGAGCTGTTTCCCTCCATATTATTAGTAGACACAATCCCAAGGAGTACGTAGGCACTTTTCTCCCGTTCAAATGTTTGGGTCAGAGAAGATGCAGTAACTGGTGAGATTCTGCACACTCGGTTTCATCTCTAACGCAGTTTCTTTTGTACAGAGTATTTCCCCACAGTGTTTAGCGGGACAGTTGTCACCCGAACTCTTGTCGCGTGGTCAGATAAACTGGGGAATCCGTGTCCCACAGAGCAGGTTTTCTCCCTGAGGACGTCGCGCAGCCCTCGCTCCGTGGTGGTGATGTAGTCTCCCAGCAGGGGCGACAGCATTCGCGTTTCCCAGACACCCAGAGTCTTCTGCATGGAGGGACTTGAGCGGCTTGTCCCAAGGATGCACTCCAGGCGCCAATGGCTCGGGACTGGTCCAGGGTTTAACTCCCATTGTTCTCTGAACAGTCAGCGCTTCCATGGGGACTAAGGCCGCTGGCTCCTGTGCTCCCTGGAGACTGAGGTCTGGACAGGGTCTTTTCTCCCCCTGGGCAGTGACCCGTGGGGTCAAAGGTCTGGTGGGTCGAGATCTGCACGAACACAGGCACAGGGCAGCGCAGAATGGGAACAACGGAAAGTAGGTGTGAGCTACGAGACTTCTGTTACAGTCGTCAGTGGGACAGACAGGGCCACTGCAGACAGTGCAGTTTTCACTGCGCATTGTGGTCAAACGTTTGGGAAAAAGGTCTTTTAGATTGTGGCCACGCCTTTGCTAAAGCTCACCCCGTCAGCGATGGCTCTCTGGAGGACAGTTTCAGTCAAAGAACCGGAAGAAACCCCAAACGCTGATTTGGAAGAATCGGAGCACCCGTGCTCATTCAGCAGGGTTCACGGCAGCGAGGCCTGGCGGCAGCTCGGTTTGCATCCCAGGGAGAAAAGCGCGCACGTCCATGTGGGCAGCTGCCTAAGACGAGTCTCCTTCAGGGCTGGAGGAGCAGGTCTGTGCCTTCCTCGCTGCTGGGGCGCTGGTATCCGAGTCCCAGACTGCTTCTGAAACTCCGGCCCTTCATCGAATTGTACGCCACGCTAGTCCTGTGCGGAGGCGACCACCCACCTGGTCTGACTTCAGCTGTGTCCCCGAATACTCACCCGCTCTCGCCCGCCTCCTTCTCCGCCCCCACCTTCCCCATGCTCGCCCCCCCCCCATGGGGTCAGCTTCTGTCTGGGCCTGAAGTGTTGATCATGAACGGCACTGTCGCGTTAGAACAGGGTTTGCAAAGCGTTTTCGAGGAGCACAGGTCGCTCCAGGAGCTCAGGTCGAAAGGACGCCGGCCGAGTGAGTCTCAGAACCGGGCCGTTAGCCCACCTCCCGGTGGGTACCGTGCAGCGTGTAGCGCCTCGAGTCCAGCTTAGTCTTCTCAGCCCGAGCCCCTGAATTGGTGCAAATGTGCAACACTCCTGTCACTTTCAACCCCCATCAGGCTCACGGAGGGCGGTTGCTGCAAGCGTGTTCTTCGAGAAACCGTCAGTAGACTCCGAAAGAGCGTGTTCCCAGAAGTCCATGAACAAGACCTGTGTGTGCTTCCTGAGAGAGGTTTGGGTCCTTTTCCATGGAGTTGCATCGGTTCATTTGTCTAGTTTATTGAAACCGGGGTCCCCAGGGGGTGAGTTTTGGGGGAGGGTAAGAAGAGGGATGGAGCGGAACCCAGCAGTTCCCAGGGCTGGTGGGTCAGAGAGGGGACAGCTCCTGAGGCTGGGGCCTGAGGGCCGTGATGGGCTACAAACGCTCCCCCCCAAAAACAGCCACATCAAATCCCTGGAACCTGCGGATGTGACCTTATTTGGAAAAAGGGTCTTTTCAGTTGTAGTGAAGTTAAGGGTCTTGAGATGAGGTCATCCCGAATTATCCAGAGGGGCCTGAGATCCAGTACCAAGTGTCCCTACAGGAGACACAGAAGAGGAGGCGATGTGACCACAGATCCAGGACGGGCGGGAGCTGCCGGGAGCGGGCAGAGGTGGGACAGAGTCTGGAGCCCCCCGGGGGAGCCGGCCTGCCGCACTCCGAGCTTGGACTTCCGGCCCCCAGGGCTGGGGGAGAACACGATTCTGTTGTCTGAACTGATGTGGTCTGTGGCAGGTTGGCATGGCAGCCACAGGAAACCGGTGCGAGGGGGCTGCAGCGACACCTGGGCACCTGGCGAGGCCGGCGGGCTCCGCCCTGGCGGGGTTCACCACATCCGAGGTGCCTGCCACATGCCTGCTCTGAAGGTGGTGGGTTCGGGGGAGCCCTGGTTCTGGGAAGGGACCTGTGGCCCCACCCAGGTGGCCTCCCAGTCCCCAGCACCAGCCCTTGGACGGCACACGCCAGCCGCCCTTCCCTCTTCCTGCTGGGTGCTTGGCTCTGAGTCCAGACCAGGCCTGTGGCGGGCGGCACAGCCTGTGTGTGGTGTTGCTGCAGCAGCCACGGCCCTGGGTGCCCACCCCTCACTTCTCAGTGACAGGAATGGCGTGGGTGTGTCTTCTGCTCGGGGGGCCTCGGGAGGGTAGAACTACAGGAGGTGTTTTCCGGGTGGCAATGCCTGTTCCAACCTGCTTGCTCTGGTTATTGGCTCTGCTCCCTACCACTGCAGGTCTCGACCTTGCCTTGGAGCCTCCATTCTTCTCTCTCTATTTACCTCCTCCTCCCTCCCCTTCCCTTCCTCCTCCTCCTCCTCCTACCGACCTCTCGCCCCTCGGATGAGTTTCGCCCTGTGCCAACCTCCAGGTAAAGGGAACCACACAGACAATATTTATTATCTGGCTTCTCTCACTCAACACTGAGTTTGTAAGACGAATCTGTGCTGCTGCACATGACTACGGTTTGTTCTTTTTCATTGCTGCGTGATATTCTGTTGTGAAACGTACAATTGCTTATCCATTTATTGTGGATGGAGAGTTGAGTTATTTTCAGTTCTGACCTTTAAGAATAAAGCCCCTTTGCAGATTCTGGAACACGTCTTTGGTGGGAGAAAAAGCGCTCATCTCTGTTTGTGTGCCCACGAGTGTGATCGTTAGGTCGCAGGGCACGTGCACATTTAGTTTAATGGGCACGGCCAGTTCCCCTGAGAAGCTGTGCCGCTCACAGCAGGGAACGAGGGCGCCCATGACTGCTCCATGCATGGGCTGCAGGGGCAGGACAGTCCCTCCCCTGCTGCGGGCGAAGCCCCGGCGCCGTGACTTTAAAGAGCCTGGACGGTGTAGCCGGCGGTGTGGGTGCAAACGGCCCCCGGTGTTGGGACAGTTTTTAAGGTGTGTTCCTTCTCTTGCTTCAAGAGCCTGTTTCTCAGTGTTGCTGCATGTTCTTGGAACGGGCATGTGTGGTGCGTGTGTAAAATTTATGTTCCTAGAGGAACGCATGCAAGTCAAAGGAATCTGCCCACATAGTCGCTTACTGAAGCGGCTACTGGGCCAATGGCTACCGACCAGGTTCAATGTGCTGCGTGCACATCTTTCTCCAAAGGACACTTTCCCGCTGCAATTCCACGCTGACTCCCCACCGTGGACGGGATGGGTGGCCACTGACCGCCCCCCCAGGGGGTTGGACGAACCCAGGCTCGGGAGCAGCTGCCTCATTTGTATCTCCTGCCACTCCAATGTCTGTTTTCCTCTCCTGCCTGTGGGGCCACCTGAAAGGCATGTCCGGTTTCTGCCTCTCCCAGAGACTCAGGGTTTTCCCCGTAAACCTGAATAATCTGAATAGCGGGTGTAGGTGTGGGACCTTGGAAGGGCAAACTCCTCTCCTCTGGGCCCCGTGCTCCAGTCTGGCTGCGTCCGTCTCCTGCAGCAAGGCGGGGGTGGCGGGGTGGGGGGGCCTTCGCCGCGCTCGTCACCAGACACCAGACCTAGGGCCCCTCCTCCTGGGTCCCTCGGAGGCAGTGCAGGGGCTCAGGCGAAGCAGCGTTTGCCTGTCACTGGACCCGTGAATGGCATGGGGACACCGCTCCCTGGTGTCTCCCTTGCACCCCACACCGCCCAAGACCACTCAGCGTCACAGCCTCGCTGTGCTGGGGAGCTCTGCCCACGGAAGTCATTGGAGAGAAGCGGGGACAGCCATGCACACTGACTTTATTTAGGACGAGATTAAGACGTGACAGCAGATGAAGCCACACGCGTGGACCTAAGCCGCCCCCTTCATGGTGCGGACGATCCAGGTGAGGTACTTCTGGGACAGCAGCACGTACACGCCAGGCCAGCGGGGGTCTCCGCACCTGCCTGCCTTGCCGAAGGAGGTGATGCCTCTGAGGGTCCCCTCGCAGATCAGAGGGCCCCCCGAGTCTCCCTGGAGAAGAAAAGAGGGGGTGGGGGTCAGCGTGGAGCAGGGGTGTGGCCATCGCCGAGTGGGAGAAATTCCATTTAAAGTGGGGTGAAGACCAGTCTTCCCTGCACTGAAAGCCAGAGCTTAAAAAAAAAAAACCTAAATGTTGAGGCTATTTTAACGTTTCTGGATGGGCCTCCTCGATTTGCTCACGCACCAGTGGAACCGGAAGTGAGGCTGGCATTGCTGTGCACACTGTCCCGTGATTTGGGGACCGAGTCTCTGCTTTAGAAAGGAGACCCTCAGTCATTTTCTCAGGGTGCTTAATAACTCAGGGGCGAAACAGTCAAATGCGGATGGAACTCGGAGAGGAAAATAGAAACCCCATTTCCTAGTCTCTCCCTCAGAGAACTGTCTCCCCAAACCGGGGAGGGAAACCAAACCGGCCTGTCCTTCACCCTCCTGGGTGGACCGGAGCTTCCCCCCTCTGAGCGGGGACCCCAAGGCCGGAAGCCACTGCGTCACTCTGCCCGCTGTGCCTGTGGGGTCAACCTGTGTCCTCTCAGGGACCCGAGGCAGGATGGAGTGGGGTGGGCCCGTGTGTGTCCGTCCCAGGGCTCACGTCCGTCCCAGGGCTTGTGTCCCTGCTGCCGGGTGGGGCTGAGGGCCCCAGGGCTGTGCGCAGGGCTCTGCAGACTCAGGGCTGTGGCAGGCTCGGGTCCAGCCGTGCTCGGGCGGGGTGGCCTCCCACCCCAGGGAGAACCGGCCTGTGTGTGACTGAAGCCGGAGGCCCCGTGAGAAGCTGGGGTCCCCTCTGCCCAGAGCTCTGTCTCCTGCCCACTGGGGGAGTGCCTGGAAACTCCAAGATGGGTCCTTCCGGTTTAATCCATCCAGAGCCATTGGGAGAACAGGCCAAGAATGGCTGAGTTTGGATGTCAGAGAGTGGCAGGTGACGGGTATCTTGGGATGCTCTGGTGGCCTGGGGGTGTCGTGTGTGGGTCCCGACAGCACACAGGTTCCGGTTTCTTGGTGCCCAGGGTGGGAAGGACCGGAGAGGGAGGGTAGGGAGTCAGGAGAGCAGCCGAAGGCCCCTTTTCCTGGGAACCCCCCGCCCCTGGGGCAAGCTGTTCAGGTTCTGCTGAGGCTAGGGAAGCCCCCAAGAAGGAAGAGGGACCCCAGGTCTCGGGTCTGCTCACTCCCAGACCAGCACACGGCTCCTCTCTCAGCCGCCCCTGCAGGCTCTTTGGCACAGGCGAGAAATGACAAGCCAGCGCCCAGAGTTTAAAAATCGTACAGTGTTCCTCCTACCCCCGTCCCCACGCAGGGCCCTGCCCCGCCCCTTCTCGGGGACTCTGACACACGGCCCCCACGTCCTCCGTGTGGGTCGTGTCTGCAGGTGCCCTCCTGGCACTGGACTTGGACCCGGGGGCTGCGGGGGCTGGGCTGCCATCCTCAGTCAGGCTTGGGGAGGGTGGGCCTGTCTGACCCCCCCCCCCCGTGAGACGGCAGAGGGGTTCGGGGCTGCGCTGAATTCGGGGAGGAGGGCACGGAAGGGTCTGGAGGAACCTGACTCTGGCTCTCCTGAGTTTCACAGTCCTAAAAATTTAGATCCACGTATCTTAAAGTGAAAAATGAGAAAAAACAACAACATCGCTTCTTAGGCGGGCTTTTTTTTAACCCTCACCCAAGGGTATGTATGCTTGTTGATCTCAGAAGGGAAGGGAGAGAGAGAGAGAGAGAGATCTCGACGGGAGAGAGAAACATCGACCAGTTGCTTCCTGAACACACCCCAACCACAGACTGAACCCAGAACCCAGGCCCGTGTCCTGACTGAGAACTGAACTGGCAACCTTCTGGTGTGTGGGACAACGCTCCAACCGACTGAGCCACCCGGCCGGGGGGCTCCTGGGAGGTTCTGATATGACATGAGAAGGTGTCAGGGGTCCACCTGCACCAGCAGAAAGTGTGTTATTCTCGCTGCACCACACACCTCGCTGAGACCTAAGACCCGGCAGGAGCCAACTCGGCAGGACAGTGGGGGCGGTGTCACTGTGTACTTACGTTGCACGAGTCTTTTCCTCCTTTGGGGCTCCCGGCGCAGAGCATGTTCAGCCCGATCACGGGGTGGTAGTCGTAGTGGTGTGGGTCATTGCAGGTCTTCCTGTCAATGACCGTGACATTGACTTCTCTCAGGCCATTGGGCATGTGCCGCTGATTGTTTATCACCCCCCATCCTGCAACTTGGCAGCCGGTTCCTGGTTTGACATCACTCCCCCTCTTAGGGAGATTAAGGATGGCCACATTCTTAGTAATTTTTGCTTTTTTCTGCAGCTGTTGGGAGACAAACGGAAAGAGTTAAAAGAATGAGACTGTGAACCCACTCACATTTTTATAGCCTGCAGGGACCGCCTGTGTGGGTGCAGGTTGTCGCTACAGGGGCACCGCTGAGAGACGCCTGCAGTGGCCGGGCAGCGGGAGGCTCTGCGCCCTTGGGAGCGTCAGAGGGACAAGCCAAGGCACGCACCTGGACCAGCTGGAGGTCGCCCTCGTGTGTGTGCTCGTCGTAGCATGGGTAGGGAAACGCTTTCTTCACGGACATGATCTGCTTCTCTGGCTCATGGGCGGTTCTCGAGTGAGCCCCGAGAATGACTCTGGACCTTTTGTTCCTGAAAACAGACACGGGGCTGTCACTGGGCTGACTCTCTCAGTCAGGAGCCGAGCAGGCCACGTGCCGGCCGGTGGCCTCGTCCCCTGTGTGCATCTGCTTGCCACGGACACGCTTGTTGGTACATCAGAAAACAAAATGGGTACTTGGAAGAGTAAAAAGATGTTTATTCTCTTTACGTAAAGAGATGTTTGAGAATTCAGCATCACCGTCAACATCGCTATCACCACCTGCACATTTCTAGAGCGCTAAGCAAGGTCTGCTGAAAACAGTAAGAATCCCACGGCGGCGAAACCTGGCCTTGGGGTCTTTGTTGGGGTTTGGGTGGGTTTCCTGCCCCCCACCCTCCGACCCTCCTTCAGCTGTGACAGAACGTGGAGCAGCAGATCACAGGGGACGAAGGTCTCAGCGGTCTAGAGACAGAAGCCACCTGGTGCTGGGAAGAGGGACTCACTGTGGCGTCTCTGTGAGGCGACAACAACCTCATCTGAAATGGGTAGACGTTCAGAAAGAGACCGTACGGCGGGGACCCCATTTGCCTGAGTGTGGGCACCTGGAGGATGGAGGCTTGAAGGAGGGACCCCCATCGGCCCTCCCACTCTGCCCTAGTTTGTTTTGATGAATTAAATCGAGACGTGCTCTGGTGTGTCCACGATCGAGGTGGGGGCCGTCCCCAAGCCAGTGGAGACTGCACCTGTGCGACGCCCACGCTGCCCAGCTCCCACCCCCAGCTGACAGGAGTCTCGCTGAGACGTGAGCACCGGCACGCGGCAGAGCGCAGCTCGGGGAGGGAGTGTCCTCTGCATCTGCACCGTCCAGAGGGGGTCGGGAGCCACACTCGGCTACTGAGGCTGTGAAACGGGGCGAGCGTGACCCAGGAAATCGATTTGGAATCGTATTTAAATTTGTACAGCCACTTGGACTTTGCATAGTCAGTGCGACAGTGGCTGTCACATCGGACAGCCAGGCCTAGAGGCTGGGCTCTGGGAGCAGAGACAGGACCTCCCTGGAGGAAACACACGGGTGGCCCACAGAGAGGCTGCGGGTGAGGCTGCAGGTGAGCGGGCGGCTCACCCGGGGGAACCCGGGGCCCTGGAGACAAGCTTTCTCCACTGGACAGCTGTGGGCCGCCCTGGAGGGGACTGGGGGCCGGGCTCCGTCTCCCCCAGCCGTGCAATGAAAGGCAGACAAGGCCGCCCAGCCCCCGGGTGCTGCCACGGGGCCCGCAGACGGGGCTGTGGGTGCTGTCCCCCAGGCCTCCCTCGCTGGGGCTCGGTCTGCACCTGACTCCGGGTCAGGGGCGGTGAGAGTCCAGAGCGCCTCCCTGGCTTTAGAGGGGTTTCCTTTTTAAACTAATCTTCGCCGGAATCGGGATACCCCCAAGAGCTGTCATTTCGAACCCAGCACTTACAGGAGGCAGTGAGCGGCGGTCAGTACCCATCTGTCTTCGATCAGAGCCCCGCCGCAGGTGCTGCCGTTCACCCCCTTAATCAGCGCCATGTAGGGTCTCGAATGAGGAGTCACTTCGTCCCCTCCGATAATCTGTACGCAGAGAGCTGTGGAAGAGAAGGAGACTCACATCCACGCTCGCCCTGCAGAGCTCTGCCTACAGCCACGTTTCTGAGACCAGACTTGGAGCGGAAGTGCAGATGGGAGTACGGCCCCCGCCCATACCCCTGATGCAGACATCCAGATGTCTGAATGCAAACCCCCTGCTGCTGCACTGGCCCAGAGATCCCTCTCTTTCCCCCACAGAAGCCACACCACTGGCAGTCTGGGGACCTTGAGGCTGCAAATCTGACCTCAGGCCTCAGGGCTTGCAAAGGTTGGACAGCTGCTGTGCATTGGTCTCCATGGTAACAGTCGCTACAGGAGATGCTAGGGACCAAGACAACCTTGACAGCCTCCCACCCCTCCCCCTTTCAGGCCGAGTGGTAATCTGGGCAAGGAGAGAGGCTTTTAGAAGCCTAGGAACTCTGCTCTGCACCCCAAGTTGCTACAACAACACCTAGCTTACAAACTGATGTTAGCACCTTTCAGCCGTGACCTTGCCCCTGAGTTCTCTGGCCCTTGTGAGACTTCCTTTCACTGAAATCTGCACTCTCCTCATGCACAAGTCGAGGGAATAATATCAACTGCACCTGGGGCTGCCCTTCACCCTCCAGGCTGAACCACAGGGTTTAATGGGCTCTCTCCCAGGGAAGGAGGGGACCAGAGCACAGAAGACGCCGTGAGGAGAGACCCCTGCCTTCCTCCCATTTCCCTGGTGACAGACCAGGGGTTAGAGTCGTTACCGGAAGACGCGAGAACGGGACACGGGTTTAGAAGATGCCGGGCCTTTGGGGATGCTCAGCTCTCCGCCTCCTTGTACCCCCCGTGTTTTGAGTCTCCAGAGATCTCTCCCCTGGCCCTTGGCCCAGACCCATGGTTTCTGAAACAGGGCCCAGTATTCGGCACTCTGTTCTCACTGTGACCTCCCTGCCAGAGCCACGGGAAGGTGTCAGTCGTGACAGTGAGGGGAGGGAAAGAGGGTGACAAGGGCTGTACCTTCCAGGAGGGAGCTGGGGCGGGGAACTTGTCAGCTCTAGGAAGAAAAGAAGGAACTTAGAGAAACTAAGAGAACCCCAGCCACATCTCCATTTTCCTGGGGGTGTATCATGTGTAGACACTCCCCAAAGGTGCCTCTTTGGAACTTCTGGGGTGCAGAAGGCAACAGGACCCCCTCTTTGGCAGAGTCCCGTGTTTGGGGGGCACATATCCCCGCTCAGAAAAAGGTCCGCAGCTCCCACAACCAACCGTCCTCGAAGGAGCTGGGCTTCAGAACGGGCGGAACGTTTCTGAAAGCTAGCAACTCGTGGCCCCCCAGAACTGGAACGAACCGGGATCGCCAGGACGGGACAGGCGTGTCCACGTGGCTTAAAAACCCCGCAGGTGTCCTCCTGTTTGGGGGCCTCGCTCTGCGGGGTCTGTCCCCCTGGGGGCCCACACCACTCTCTCAGCGGCAGGAAGCCATGGGTTCTGCGGTCGCCCTCGAAGAGAAGGTGAGCCTGGGATCGTCTGTGCTCCGCGTTCGCCACGGTGGAGAATCTGACTCGCCTGGACGGTGCCGCACTAGCCGAGCCGCTGCTATGCCCACTCTACTACCCCCGGCGACCTGCGACCTCGGATTATGAAAGTCTCTTCTCATTTTTAGGTGGGAGACGAACCAGAGAACTTACTGGGAGCTTCTGGCAAGACTGCCCCGCCCCACCCCCACCGCCAAGGCTGACCCCAGGCAAACCCACGGGCTGCTCCACGCTTGCCCACGCAGGTCAGCCCGGTCCTGGAGGGTCCTCCCCTCCTGGAAGGGTTCCTAAAGACAAACTGCTGCCACTCCAGGGGCCGCGACCCTCGCAGCAAGGATGCTGGGGGTCTTTGCCGCCTTTCACACGCATGTGAGCCCCACCCAAGACCAGGCCCGCTGGTCATCACTCAGTGCACAGGAGGGTCAGCCAAGCACAGAACACTGTCGCCCCGCAGAGCAGGTGCGGGGGAGCTCCTGGTGTGAGTGCCCCCCAGGGCCGCGCTGGCCTAGAGAGACAGGATGGAAACTCCCACCGCTCCTGACCCGCTGCAGGGTGTAGGTCAGGTGCGTTTCAGTGTCATCACCTCGGGGGGCCCGCCCCCCCCCAAAGCTGCCATCAGTCAGGTCCTGACCCAGGGGCCTTTGGGCTCTTTGTGTTTGCATCTCGCTTCTTGGCAATTTTACACATTGGCAGCAATAAAGTGCCAGTGGTTCTACGATCTTTGGTGAAGAAATTGGGAAGGAGAAAGAAGGATGTTTTTCCTCCTGAAATAGAGACAAGTTCAAAGTCAAAGAAAGAAGGCAGAGGCCTAGGGGAGGGTCTCCTGGGGCCCTGAGCTCCTGTGGCCCAAATCAGGGCAGGTCTGCTCCCGCGGTTGCAAGGGAAACGACAGGAGCTGGTCTTACCTTCAGGGATCAGCAGGAGAAGAAGTGCCACCAAGAGGGAGGGTGACGGGCGTGCTCCAGGGTTCCTCATTGTGGCTGCCGTTCCCCACATCAATCAGGCGCGCTCTGTCCAGGCCCCGCCGGTCACGGCTATATACGGGGAGCGGGGAGGATGTGGTCAGCCTTCGGAAACGAAACAGCAGTGGTGAGAACAGCTCCCCGGCAGCGCCCGCCCCCGCCCCCCACCCTACAGCACGTCCCTCCCCCCCCAACACTGCTCAGGGAGCGCGGGCCTGGTGCCCCCCCCCCCCCTGCACAGAGCCCTGAGGGGAGACAGAGGCTCCCAGCATCAGCAACATAACCTCCCACACGAGTGGCCCCTGTGGAGACTCCAATTGGAGCTTTAAAAATGTCCTCCAGATTGGCCACAAACCTAACCTCTTTCTAATTACCGATTTGGGGGACAGAGGACCAGTATGTCAGGGCAAGGGCGATGACTTCACCCGTCAGTCAGCGCGGCCTGGGCCTCCACCCCCACCTGGTGTGGGCTGATGCCCTGGGGTCCCGGCTGGAGCCTGAGGTGGGCAGGTCTGGGGACAGGCTGCTGGGGGTGGTGGGGCTGGGGGCCCCTCCCAGACCCCAGACTGTTTGGTTTCACAGCTGCAGAGACTGGAAAGTGTTTCTGAGTTCCCCTTCCTCTTGGTCTTCCTCTCTCCCTGGCCTGCCTCCCTTCCTGCCCTCCTTTCTTCCTTCGGTCCCGGTTCAACTGAGGAAGGAAGCTGGAGTCCGATGAGGTTATTCTGGGGCAATATCGGGGTGACCTGCCTCTAAGGGGACCATGTTCGGGCCCCGAAGGAACAGTCACGTGCTTTCTCTTAAAGCTGCCTCTGCTCCTTTTCTGAGCTGAGGATGTGGTCTTCGTCGTCACACACGGTCCTCTGTCCTGCCGGGATGTCGGTGTCACACTAACCTCCCAGAGCTGACAGCCGAGGACTCCAAACCCGGAGGTTACTTTGCAGAAATCATGTGACCCCGAGAGGAGTCGCCCCCCCCTGCCCCGGTGGCCCCTGAGTTTCCTTTTCCTGGAATTACTAGCCCATCACAGGCTGCTCGGGTGTAGTGGCCATTCTGATGCAGACGTGAAGAGGACCGACCCTGACCGACGGGAGTTACTCAGACTCTCTCAAGGGAAACACCAGCGCGTCTGTTTCTTTCTACATGAATGTGTTTTTTAGCACGTTGACCACATTGGGCTGCCCCCTCCATCCTCACCGGCTTGGCCAAAAAGTCCATTTAGTTTTCTTCCCGTAAAGTGAAAGACACGTTTTTCATTTTCACCAGTAACCTCACTGATTTGGATATGCCGAGTGTGTTGGCGTTCTCCTACGTGGTGTAACGGTTGTTCTCAATTACCGTCTCCGTTTGATCGCCATCGACTTCAGCCGGTCCACCCGACCGCGGAGCAGTGTCCAGCGAGGAATCTCCAGCTCGAAACTTTGAAAACTCCTTCTGACACGTTGGATCAGTCACCGCACCTTCTCCACACGCTGCACAGATCTTACTTTTTGCGTTTCAGTTGTGTCTTTACCTTTCTTGAAGTGATAAAGAATAATATGCTGAAAATGGTTTTTTTTGTTTTCTTCCATCTTCAATATTAAAAATGGCTACACAAAAATTCACCAATTTTTATCGGTTTTTAAAAAAATACTCCTTGATATGACAGCTGTCACAATACGATCTAACAAAAGTGTTTTGAATAAAGTTAAAGACAACTAGGAGCTACTAGAGCCATCTCACGAAGAAAAAAAATGAACTTTTTGGCCAGCCCACTAATTCTAGAACATTTCCATCATTTCTGAAAGAAGCCCTGTCACTTCCCATGACCCCTGTGCCCCCTCCCTGGCCCTAGACGACCTCGGACCCAACTTCCATCTCCGTCGGTCCTTCCGTGCTGGACGTTTGGTGTCGGTGGGGTGGGAGAGCATGTGGTCCGTTCTGACTTTTTTCATTCATAACACGTTTGAAGTTCATGTAGCAAGTATCAGAATTTTTTCTTTTTATTAGCAAATGGTATTCCATTGTAAGAATACACCGTATTTATTCACCCACTCATTGGCTGATACACATTAGGGTCCTTTCTGCTTTTTGCCTACTAGGAATACCGCTGCTGTAACACTTACGTGCGAGTCTTTCTGTGAGAATATGTTTCTGTTTTGGGGGCACCGTGATTATTGGGTCATGTGGGGACCCCGCGTTTAACATCCTGGACAGCTTCTGAATGGTGCCCGAAGCGGCCGCACCGTTTTCTTGCGCATCCCCATAAACATGGACGAAGGCTTCCGTCTTTCTGCATCATTGCCAGCATGTGTCACTTATTATTAAAAAGTCATTGTTATTCTAGTGGCTGTGAAGGCATCTCTTGTTGTGGTTTGTATTTGCATTTCTTTTAATGACTAACCCTGTTAAGCTTCTTTCTATGTGTTTACTAGACATTTCTTCAATACGTCTTCTTTGGAGGAACGTCTACTCAAATGTATTGCCTGTTTTCAACTGGGTTGTCTTTTTATGATTGAATTTTAATGTTCGGCGCTACACTCACCGTCCCCACTTAGCACCCTGGTGACCAGACCCCGGGGTCCTGTCTCAGAGACCACACGACCTTAGTATGTACCTGGGTATGAGCCCCTCATACGGTACATAATTTGCAAGTATTTTCTCCCGGTCTGCGGGTTGCCTTCTATTTTTCGCGATGGCGTCTTCTGAAGCACAAAGGTCTTCATTTCGAGGAAGTCGGACTCATCAGCCTCTTTCATCACTGGCGTCCCAGGCGCCACCCCCAGGGGTTGCTGACTCACCCAGCACCGCAGACACTCACTCTTTCATTGTTCCCGCGAGTGTTACAGTTCGCGCCCTCACATTTAGGTCTGTTTTTTGATGAACGTTTTTCTGTCATTCCAGTTCACTTTCGTGTGTGGTTTGAGGTCGGGGGTCCAGCTTCACCCCCGGCGTGTGGACGTTCAGCTGTCCGGGCTTCGTTCTGAAAATGCTGTTCTTTTCTCACGGAATTGTCTGGATCCCTTTGTCAAAAATGCCAGAGTTTGCCGTAAATGCCAGGGTTTATTTCCGGACTCAGCCCCGTGACGTGGTCTGTCCTCACGCCAGCCCACACTCTCTCGGCCACTGTGGCCCGCAGAAAGTTTTGAGATAGAAAAATGTGTGTCCACTGGCTTTTCCACCGACTGTGTTCTGCTCTAACAATCTTTTCTCAAGATTGTTTTGACTGCAAAATATACATTTAAAAAATTGTGTATGCAGGCTATTTCTTTATATTCTTGGGAAAAATAGTTTATTCTAGCTGTGAATGAACCATTGCAATATTGTAAACCAGTGGTACAATCTGTAGAATCCTGGGGGTTCCTGAGGCCCTTTTGGGGTTTCACAAGGTCAACACTATTTTCCTACTAATATTAAGAGGATCCTTGCCTTTGCGCCTGTGGTCGATACTTTCACTGATGGCACAAATGAGGTAGCAGGTAAAACTGCCGGAGCTCTTATACGGATCAGTGCCGGGGCAACAAGCAGCCCTGGTGGTCTCTGTGTTCTTTCTGGACAGGCACCAGGAAGGGAGGGAGGGAGGGAGGAAGGAAGGAAGGAAAGAAAAGGAAAAGAAGGGAGGGAGGGAAGGAAGGGAGAGAGGAAGAAAGAAAGAGAAATAAAATCTAGTTTCACTTAAGAGCCATAGGGATGAAAGAATAAAAGCAGTAAAAGAAAACTTTAACACATCTTCATCCTCTGCTAAATGCCGTTTGATGACTGACGGGATGCGGGACGGGCGCACACGCTCGGCCGCGCCCGCAGCCCCGTGGCTGCCCCGCCAGAAGGTCCTCGGTGCCGGAGCCGGAGCCGACCTGCCTCTTGGAGGACGGCAGTTACTCAGACTCGGTTCTTTGGCCGACATTTCAACATTTCCTCAGATATGAGTGAAACGAGCCTGTCACTTTAAAGAGAACAGCTTTCACTGATAAGGGTAAAGTAAAAGTAGAGATTTCGAGCGGATGTGAGGGTTCCTGGAACACTCGGGGCTGCTATCAGGAGCTTAACCTCTTCTTAGCCCTCAAGGACTATTTTTTCAAAGTTTTTATTTATTTATTTATTTTTAGAGAGAGGTGAAGGGGGAGAGAAAGGGAGAAAAACATCCATGTGTGAGAGATGCACACCGATTGGCTGCTTGCCTCTCACACGCCCCCAACTGAGGGCCTGGCCCGCAACCCAGGACTGTGTCCTGACTGGGAATCGAACCAGTGACCCTTTGGTTTGCAGGCCTGTGTTCAATCCACTGAGCTACACCGGCCAGGGCTCCAGGGCTTTCTTGATGAGTTGGTAGTAACGTGAAGAAATGTGATTTTATTTTATTTATTTTTTTAAAAAGATTTTATTTATTTATCTTTAGAGGGGAAAGAGAGAGGGAGAGAAGCATCGATGTATGGTTGTCTTTCGTGTATCCCCTGCTGGGAACTGGCCTGCAGGGAACTGGCCTGCAACCTAGGCATGTGCCCTGACTGGGAATCAAACCACGATCCTCTGGTTCGCAGGCCTGTGCTCAATCCACTGAGCTACACCAGCCAGGGCAAGAAATGTAATTTTAAAAGTACTGTGTCATGAAATGTGTCAATATTTAGAAACCCTACAGGAATCGGTGAACGGACGTTTTCCAAGAGCATTGCAGGCGGTGCGTTTGAACGTGCTGTGCTCTTCCTACGGCAGGAGAGGAGGAAATCGGCTACCAGGGAACCCCCGTGAAGTTACATGAATTAATTAGTCACACTAGTATTTACTGAATGCCTATTAGTTGCCAGTCACAATGTTCAGTGCTGGCCACGAGGGCCAAAGATGGCCAGGGCAGATTTAGTCCTGGCCGTTCCTGAGCGCACGCAGACGGGGAGAGGGTGGGAGCTGAGGGCCCGCCGTGGGTGGGAGGGCAGGGAGCGACGGAAGCAGGAGGGCAGCCACTCTGGGACAGCAGTGAGTTCATTAAGGGGAAGGTGCGGGCCCACTGGGCTCAGACAGGCCGCCTCGGGGCTGGGTTTCTGCACAGAGGAGGGCGATCGCGGTGTTCTTCCCGCTCCCTCGGTGCTCTCCACGGGGGAGACAAACAGGCCCTCCATTC